TCAGGAAGAGGCTGTAGATCTAAGTAGAAAATTTATGACAAGGGGGTACCCAAATTCCGTCATTAGGGATGGTAAATAAAAGGCTTGGAATCGGAGCAGAGAAGCCATTCTGCACAAAAAAGATGTACATCTCCAACAAAAAACGAATCGTAACAGTAAAGAGAGAATGGGTATCATTACCACCTATGGTGCGATGTGCATAATCGAATCCCATAGGTGTGAGTACCCATGCGATCCAATTCTAGTGCAGACCAAAAAAAGGATCCTGCACCTCCAATCGCACCACACGCAATTCGCATGTGATTTGCACTGGAATGCGGTGCGGGTCCTGTGCGAATCACAAGCGATATACCGCACCGCATATATGTGAACCCAGCCTTAATTGGGGAACCAAAGCATGTTTGTGAAAACAGTTATCAGAAACTGGAATACCATTGGCCACCATGGGAGGAAGACTCAAATCTCGCTGGCTAGACACACACAGATACATATCTTACATACAATCTTGTACACTCTAAGGTTTGTAATGCAGCTAGCTAATCCATAAGCTTTTCAGATTTCCCCAAGCTTTTATATAAGCTGGCCCACTGCCTACATACACTAGGCAAAAGATTCAGGCTGACTTCACACTGATCTGCTTTTTTCCCCCTTTGGCGTTACAAAAAGCGGAATAAAAACCATGTATTCCTATGGAACTTTTCACACTGATCCATTGTGGGTCCAGTGCATTTTTTAAAATCCTGCTTTTTTTTTGGTGTAGTTTGGTGAAGTAAAAAAAATGCACCCAAAATGTGGCAAAAATGTATCAAAAAAGCACCGTGTTGCATTTTTGGTGTGGTTTTTGAGTCACAAGTCCTGTAAAAAGGCACCGCAAACGCTATAAAAACTTGGATCAGTATGAAAGTAGCCTTAGCGTAGCTTGCCACCACCTGCAGTTTGTCAGCTGATTGGTCAGGTAGGCAAGCATATACACGCAGATCCAAAGATATAGCAGCTTTCACACTAATCAGCAATTAGCTGCCACATGCCTTCTGTAAGGGACCACCTGGCGGCACCTCTAGCAACCCACTGGTCAGGTTTCCCCAGAGCGCGGAGTCTAAGTCCCGGATCACTTGTTCACCAGGGCCCCTGATGGTGGGGATGGACTTGGAGTGTACCGAGAACAGGTCGCGACTACCGGGTACACCCACCAGTGGTAGAGGAGTCCGCCAGAGGCTCCCGCAGGGTGAGAGCCCGATGTGAGGAGACCGGGAGATCCCGGTGGGATGGACGGATGAGCAAGTGCACAGTCAGACAAGCCGAGTCGGTAGCCGGGGGGTTGGTGCGGTACAAAGCAGCAGGCAGAGAATGGTCGGGTCACACGCCAGGTCAGTAACAGGAGGTCAGATCTATAAAGGGGCATTCAGGAGCGAGGTCAGGCAAGCCAGGGGTTAGGACAGGAGAAATCAGCAATCAAACGTCAGGCAATCCGGATCAGAAATACTCACTAACAGATTCAGGAACACAGGTAACAGGAAAAGACCATTCGGCAACCAGTGACAGCACAGGGGGGATTTAAATACCGTGCCCTGCGCTGTCATTGGTGCCCGATGCGCACCCGCGAACACCAGTGAGCATGCGCGAAACCATCGCCGCGGCTGGCCGGGACCTAGGGGCCCGCATCCCTGCATGAGACGGCGCACTGCGCCTGCGCCGGGACCAGCGTCGCGGCGATCCCCTGACACCTTCATACAGATTAATAGTGACATTATGACTGAGCATACTGTACAGAGACTTGTAAAATAACACCACAATCTTTCTAGGAGTATGAATTCTTAGCTTGGTACAGAGAAGGCCACTTATTATTGTTTAACATTTATATTCATAGGTGGGCAGTGCAAAGATACAGTATATGTACTATATGCAAATAGAAAGACAAAAAATAAATAAAAAGGGAGCAAAAACAGAAATATAGGCAGCACTACCCCTGTAAGGGTTGCTTTAGTAATTTGCTTGGCTTCTCTGTCAGTCTGGGCCTCCTCTTGAAAGCCTGACCTCTGCTGACATCACCATGCTCTAATGACCCAGATAAATCACACCTGCAAAATGGACTCACACACAGGGTAGTATAAACCAAAATGAAGTTTATATTGAGTTTGGAAGTGACTGAGTTAAGAATAACAAATTAACACTGGTATTGACAGTAACTGATCACTATTGACAATTATGACCAAAAGTATCAATATTCACAACAAACAGCAGTATTTGTTAGCAGGCCTGCTTTCAGAAATAATCCACTGCCTCCCATCTGAGGGGACTGTTGTATCCTCAAGTGAGCAGAAGACAACTATCAAGAGGCAGGTAAGCTCATTGTGGGTCCTCAGAACTGGATGACAAGGATTAAGTATGAAATAAAGAGAATTCCCAAGTAAAATTGGCAGTGTATCCTTTAAGAGCTCTGTAATGTCTTCTTGTTGGAGCCCAGTTGATGTGAGGCTGTGTCTAGGGGTAGATGATAGTTCCTCAGGGTAACCACTTCCCGAATGATGAGAAAAACAAAGGAAAGATGTAACACTTTTTTTATTACTAGCAGCGATTATTGTATGGTTCCCTGTAAGAGCTCTGATAATGAACTGAGCTTGGAGTAGAAAATAGCAACAAATGGTATGAATGTCTGTGGACAAAGACAGTTCCCTCTAGAGGTCAAAGGCAAAAGATGAACAGTAGTGCGAGTTCTGCTCTGCAGAAATGGAATGGGACTGGTTGATTCAGATGGTACTGCTGTGGGCTGATGTCTTGCAGTCAGGTTGAATAATAACTGTAATGCATGTATATTCCAGCAATGGCACTGGTATAACTAGTCCGCAACCCAGCCACTGTTTGAAGTGTTCACAGCTATGTGCGAGTAGACAACTAAGATGATAAACTAGTAATGCTCACTCTATCATGGGGTGCATGGACTTCTCTCACCAGATCACTATGGTTTCGCGGGTAGCGGCGGTCCGTCTTTCACCATGAATAGGAACAGTCCTCTGGTTCAGGCTTGACATTCCCCTCTGTCTTCTCCTGTCAGAGTGACCTGCTTGGCACCGTAGTGGGCTGGACAATCAGTAAGTTCCTCCACTCTCTCTCTCTCTTTCTCTCTCTGCTCCGCGGCCTCCTTCAACGTCTCCACCAGCGGCAAACTTCATTCTCATTTATTTCCCCTCCACAGACCCCTCGCCAATCTCCAGGGCTTTGTTTTTTATATGCCCTCGCCCACACGCTACATCTTCTAGGAAATGTAGTCCCAGACACTCTACTTCCAAGCCAAGTCATGCTATCCAGAAATACAAGTCCCACAGGACTTTTCTATCAATGTGAGGAACCTTTCACTGCAGACCACTGTCATCTAGCCTCCATTTTGCTAAACTGCAAGTAGTAACATTTCAGTGGGATACATATAAAGACTTAAACATTTGGACAGAATAGTGTTTGTCCTGTTTATGGGAGAATGCTGGAATTTCAGTAAACAACGTGTCTTTGAATACATTGTCTTGACTCATAACATGTTCATTTCTCAATTTTGCAGAGGTAAGGATGTGGGACAGATGCTGATTCTTGGCCAAGCACATCTGAAGGTGATACTTCGCCTAATGTGAGAGGAGTTCTTGCCTCTTGCAGTGACTTTGAGTTATACAGACCAGCCGACACGGTTGGCTTATTCATAGCTAGGATTTCACCAGCACATTATCCTGTTCACAGCAAGTCAACATGGATGGATCTAGCAGGGTCTATAAACCATTTAGTCAGTCCGTAGGATGTTCTATAGGGTCAGGACATACCATTTTGCATCCTCTGTGAGGATATTTTGGTGGTTTGTAAGGTGACAGTTGATTAAAGAGTAACTCCATTACCCATTTTCAGTTTCTCCATATTTAGGCATTTTCCCTAAAGTGGTTGTAAAGGCAGAACATTTTTTACCGTAATACAGTTCCAGTATTTGTATTCCCCCCCTCTCCCCCCTTATACTTACCTGAGCCCTATCTCGATCCAGCAATGTGCCTGTCCACATCAGTGCTGGTCTCTCTCTCTCCTCACAGGACACAGAAACAGCAGCGGGAACCATTGGCTTAATTATTTTGAGTGGTGAATTTTTCCCTTCAGAAAATTGTAGTGTTGGGGTTTTCTAGGAGCTGACTATGGTAAATTATAGTATGGAGATCCATAAAAAGCAGTGTGCTTACATTGAAGCACACACACAGTACATAATGTGAAACAACACACAGCACACAGTTAACTCTTTGATCACCCCAGTTATTAACCCCTTCCTGCCCAGTGCCATTAGTACAGTGTCAGTGCTTTTTATTAGCACTGATCATTGTATTGGTGTCAGTTGGGATGTCAATTACACCAAGTCAGTTCCCCCCAGTGTTAGAATGCCCGCCACAGTACCGCAGTCCCGCTATAAGTTGCTGATTGCCACCATTACTAGTAAAAAAAAAAAAAATTCCAGTATATACACCGCCATTTGTAAATGCTATAACTTTCACGTAAACCAATTAATGTACATGTATTATGATTTTTTTTTAGAGCAAAGACATGTAGCAGAATACACTTTGTCCTAAATTTATGACAAATTAGATTTTTTAAATTTTTTTACTAGACGTTTAATAGCAAAAAGTCAAAAATATAGGTTTTTCTCCAAATTGTTGGTCTTTTTTTTGTTTATAGCACAAAAATAAAACCGCACACAATCAAATACCACCAAAAGGAAGCTCTGTTTGTGGGGGAACAAAAAGGACATACATTTCATTTAGGTTCAGCGTTGCATGATTGTGCAATTGTCAGTTAAAGTAATGCAGCACCGTATCACAAAAAATGGCCTGGTCAGAAAGGGGGGTAAATCTGGAGGGCAAGTATCACTCAGCTTTGGTTTCTACCAGAATATTGACAATATTATTTTAGCCTGTTGGAGTTGATCAGCATTTGGCAGATGGTTCTGGTCAGCATACCATACTGTAAAAACATCTTGCACATACCTGCCCATTTTGAAAATCATAATCCAAGGAATACTGCAGCTTTCCGAGTTTCTCCTCGGGCTTCTCTTCTTTGCCTTCTCCTAAGAGAGAGGGATCCAAATCCTCAACATCGGGTTGCACCTGCACAGAAAAATATAAAAGCTTTATTTAACTGTTTCATTATACAGAGAAGTAACAATCAATAGTGACAGTAACTTCATAAACATGCTTGCCATCTTCTTCGGTATCTAGAGCCATCCCAGCCACTAGCAATAATCAAATGTAAAATCCAACAGGCTGGTTGTACCCAAGTTCATCAATCAATCAACTTGGGTACATTCAGCCTACCCATACATGGTTTAAATCTTGCTTGGTCCCTAGTGAACTTGCCGAGATTCAAACCATCTATGGCCACCTTTAATAAATAATGTCCCTTGTCCTTTTCTGTTTGTAATTTCAGCTGCACTTAGACTGTATTAAATATTGAGAAAATATATGTGTAACAGTGACATAATTGGAATAAAATTGGTATACTGTAAATAATTTATATATAATTATATCATTGGTATATATAATATTTACCCTAAAAGTCCCTTTTTGTTGTTTTTGGTTACAGGATATTGGGGATGCAGTAAACCTAATTAAACATTTGACAGCTACCTTATATATTTCGAATAAATAGTATATGATAAATATTTACTTCATATTTTGCAGGGAAAAAGTGCCCTGATTGGGGAATGCAGCATAAATGAATGATTGCTGAATAAACGGAATGGGGAGGTATTTATCAACAGGTACATCAGTTGTTCTATTTGGTGCACAGTGCACAAATGTGTCACAGACTTGTGATTGATTTCTTACGTCACATTTCTTGTAACAAATGTGATACATTATTTTATCACATTTTGTGAATTTGTGGCAGATTTCCACAGATTTCCAACTTTTCATCCACCTGCCTCTCCATCTCAGCCATTCAGAGGAAACCTTGTATTTATTGCTAAAATGCAAGGCTTCCTGTGAATGGTTGAGCAGCGCTCAGTCCAACTTGACTTTATTCTGGAGTGGGACGGGAAGTCCCTGTACCAGTGCTGGAACAAAGCGCTGTATGTAGCTGAACCTATGCACAGTTTATATAGCGCTGGCAGAGGCTGCATGTATTATCTAAGGAACTTGTTTGGGCCAGCTTGGTTCAAACAAACTGTTTAAAGTGATAGCAAAGTTGGTGTTATCTTTAACACTATTCATATTTAGGCGCCTGCAGCCTATATATTATATAATTTCTGAGTTCTACATTCACTCCTTCAGTACACAGATTGGTCATTTCCCAGTGAGATCCCACCTTCACCACGTACCCGATCTCAATCCAGAGCTGTGCTCAAGAACAGCAGCTCTCTCCACTCTCTCCCTCTTCACAGAGCATAGTGATAGCAGTAGGAGCCATTGGCTCAAATTCTGTGATGAGGGAGTGGATGGCGGGGCCGAGCCACACTGTCTGTGTCTATAGATGCAGGCAGCATGTCTCAGGATCGAACCCATAGGTGTGCCACAATAGGAAGTGGCTTCCTGTGGTGGCACAGTGGGAAGTGAAGGAGCCAGGGGCGATGGCAGGGGACCTGAGAAGAGGAGGATTGGGGCCACTCTGTACAATTCTCTTGCATTGAGCAGTTAATTATTGTATGTTAGTTATTTTTCGAAAAATGTTTACAATCACTTTAAGTAGCGTCTAGCAGTGTCACGACCTGATTCACCTGCTGGTGGCACTGTGGATCTCTGGACCAGGGGCGGACTGACCATTTGGAAACTCGGGCACTGCCCGAGGGCCCGGGGGTCAGTAGGGGGCCCCATGAGATGCCCCTGGTACCTTTTTAATAGGCTTTTTTGAGTTTGGGCAAGGACACAGGGGCCCCATGATCCCCTATTGCCTGGGGGCCCCATGAGTTTTCAGTCCGCCCCTGCTCTGGGTAGAAAACTGTAGTTATAGTGTCCACAAGCGGGTGTCTTTCAGAGGTCAGTAGGCCCCAGTAATTAGTTACAAATGGTTATAGGTGCTAGCAGGACATATACAGTAATTCTGCTCCCATTAGCACACAGCGCGTCAGTATTTTGGTTGTATCCTGTTTGCCGTACGTCAGCCACACTCTGTTGCCATTAACTCTTGATCCTGCTCCTGCTCCTGCTCTTGCTCCTGTTCTTGCTCTGAACCCAGTACCTTGCTGCCTTGCTCCTTTACCAGTTTTGTTTTTCCATCTCCCCTAGTTTTCCCTTGCCTTACATGATTAATTTGCAGATATATATATATTTATAGTGTATAATGTATTTAGTTAGTTTAGGTTTCTACATTTTGGCATTTAGTTCAGATTTTCATACATTTCATGTTCATTGCACTGCTGGTGTGTAGTTATCTTACATACACTGTAAATAAATCTCACTTTAAAGATATACAGTTATGCCCCAAAAATATTGGCACCCCTGCATTTTCTGCCAGATAATCCACCACTTTGCCCAGAGAATTGGTGCAATTACAAATGTTTAGGCATTCTCATGTTTATTACGTTTGTATTGGTATCACACAAAATGTGGAGAAACAAAAATCCCAAATACCCCCCCCCCCCAAAAAAAAAAAAAAAAAACGTTGGTGTTAAATATTCATTGCTGTTTAGGCAGTAGACCATCTATATTCTCATTTTGTTTAGACCTAGGCTGGTATAACACCTGAGGTCTGGGCCTAACTATATTTGATCCGCTGCCAATTGGACCTAACTAATTACCAATATTAATGATATTAGGATTGGACCACCAATATGCTATACAGGTAAGCCTATATACTTCTGTGGTCATACTATATTGTGAGATTTGATGCCTATAAGATAATAGAGAGTTTACTATTGCCTCCATGAGTTTCTCCCACGTGCCAACAGGCCCATTCACAGAACACAACTGTAAAGATATATCATGTCTGTTTTTTTCTCCCTCAGTCTACTTATTGGGGTAAGATATTTTTTATAATGATACGGCCATCATTTTTCACATATATGGGGTATTTCTGAATGTTGTATGTATTAATTGCATATATAATTTCTATATGATAGTTATGTTCTTTCTTCTCTCTGTTTCAGAATTTGATTTTATATCATGGTATAGTCTTCACAACCCTCTACACCATTCATGTGCCTTGCTGGTCCTGAGGAAGCAGTGGAAGCCACGAAATGCGTAGACTAAAAATACAGCAAATACAGTGGTGGTTGTGTTTTAATGTATTTTGGATAAAACCTTTTTTTAATATATTGGAATAAAATTGATTTTTTTCTGGAAATTGTATTCCTTTTTCTTTATGTTGGATGGCTTCTAATGGTATATTTAAAGTCCCATTTACTTACATACGCCTTTTATCTTCCATACTATTCACCTGCACATACTGTCATACATTCTGACTTTCTCCTGCATACAATGCCCTGTCAAACTCACAGCAGTCATCTCCTGCATATACTACCTGCTGTCACACCCTCCACATTCCCCTGCTGTCACACCCTCCATGCTCCTCTCCTGCATATACTGCCTGCTGTCACACCCTCCACATTCCCCTGCTGTCACACCCTCCATGCTCCTCTCCTGCATATACTGCCTGCTGTCACACCCTCCACATTCCCCTGCTGTCACAGCCCTCCATGCTCCTCTCCTGCATATACTGCCTGCTGTCACACCCTCCACATTCCCCTGCTGTCACACCCTCCATGCTCCTCTCCTGCATATACTGCCTGCTGTCACACCCCCCCACATTCCCCTGCTGTCACACCCTCCATGCTCCTCTCCTGCATATACTGCCTGCTGTCACACCCCCACACACTTCCTGCCTTGCTGTCACACCCTCCATGCTCCTCTCCCGCATGTACTGCCTGCTGTCACACCCTCCACATTACTCTGCTGTTATACCCTCCTTGCTGTCCTCTCCATGCTCCTATATATACTGCTTGCTGTCACACCCTCCACATTCCTCTGCTGTTATACCCTCCATGCTCCTCTCCTGCATATACTGCCGCTGTTACACACCCTCCACATTCCTCTGCTGTCACACCCTCCATGATTCTCTCCTGCATATACTGCCTGCTGTCACACCCTCCACATTCCCCTGCTGTCACACCCTCCATGCTTCTCTCCTGCATATACTGCCTGCTGTCACACCCTCCACATTCCTCTTATGCATATACTGCCTTGCTGTCACACCCTCCATGCTCCTCTCCCGCATATACTGCCTGCTGTCACACCCTCCATGCTCCTCTCCTGCATATACCCCCTGCTGTCACACCCTCCACATTCCTCTGCTGTCACACCCTCCATGCTCCTCTCCTGCATATACTGCCTGCTGTCACACCCTCCACATTCCTCTGCTGTCACACCCTCCATGCTTCTCTCCTGCATATACTGCCTGCTGTCACACCCTCCACATTCCCCTGCTGTCACACCCTCCATGCTCCTCTCCTGCATATACTGCCTGCTGTCACACCCTCCATGCTCCTCTCCTGCATATACTGCCTGCTGTCACACCCTCCATGCTTCTCTCCTGCATATACTGCCTGCTGTCACACCCTCCACATTCCCCTGCTGTCACATCCTCCACACTCCTCTCCTGCATATACTGCCTGCTGTCACACCCTCCATGCTCCTCTCCCGCATATACTGCCTGCTGTCACACCCTCCACATTCCATTGCTGTCACACCCTCCATGCTCCTCTCCTGCATATACTGCCTGCTGTCACACCCTCCATGCTCCTCTCCCGCATATACTGCCTTGCTGTCACACCCTCCATGCTCCTCTCCCGCATATACTGCCTGCTGTCACATCCTCCACGCTCCTCTCCTGCATTTACTGGCCAGTAACACACCTCCTGTATTATAGGGTGTACACTCTGGATGAAGGAGCAACAGAGACACCTTTGGACAGCAGTATTGTCAGTCATAGGGCAGGTTAGTGTTAGAAGTACTAGCAGACTTAAATACACTAACAAACTGAAACCAAACTCCAGCTCACACTTTATAAGCAGTTACAGCAATAGTTTTTTCCTTTTCGGGATAAAGGTTCTACATAAATAAATGCTGACCATTGTGAACATATATGTTGCTGTAGAAGCGCACACCACCTCAGT